TCCTGGAGCTACTGGCGGTGCTGGAGCTGCTGGAGGTGCTGGAGCTGCTGGAGGTGCTGGAGCTGCTAGAGGTGCTGGAGCTGCTGGTGCTGGTGGCACTGCTCAGCAGCGCCTGTTCTTCGCTCCGCCGTCTCCGTCGTCTCAGCCACCACCTGACTCTGCACTTCGTCAGGTTCTCAGTCTTCCCTCGTCTACTGGTCTTCCGTTACAGCCTGGCTCACCGCTGCCTGCTCCTTCTCCGTACACAGAGCAGACTAGGGGCCTTGCTGAGCGTCGTGAGCCTGCGTCGCGTCCTGTCTCACCTGTCCGTTCTGGTCGTTCTGGTCGTCGTGTTCCTCGTCAGCGGCAGCCGGCTGTCTCCGGCTCTCACCTTGTAGTTCGTCGTCCTTCCTCTCCTCCGCTGCGTGTTCCTCTGCCGTCTCCCCCTGTGTCCTCTCTGCCTGTCGTTGCTGACCCTGCGTCTGACCAGTTTCGTGCTGAGCACTCTACTGTCACGCGTCTGCTTGCCACTGTTGTCACTGACTCGTCCTTTGAGTCTGCTACTGCGTCTGCCTTAGTCGCTGAGCTTGTTGACTTTGCTGCTGCCTGTCGTCTCGACTACGCCGCCAGTCTTGTTGCTGAGTCTGAGTCTGTCTGTCCTCCGTCCGTCGGGGGTGAGTGTGCTCTTGGCACGGACGTCCTTGAGGACAGACAGGAGGACCTTGAGTGTCTTGCAGCCGCTGCGCCTCATCTCGTATCCATGCTGCTTGCCCCTGAGGGAGACCCGGATGCACCAGACATCCCTACCCCGCGCTCTTACGCTGAGGCGATCGCGGGTGAGTACTCCTCTCAGTGGCAGACAGCCATGGACGCAGAGATGGCATCCTGGAAGTCCACAGGCACCTACGTCGACGAGGTTCCCCCTCCTGGGGCGAACATTGTCAGTGGCATGTGGATTTTCAAGGTGAAGCGGCCGCTAGGTTCTCCGCCTGTCTTCAAGGCTCGGTACGTGGCTCGAGGCTTCAGTCAGCGAGAGGGAGTTGACTTCTTCCAGACCTTCTCCCCCACCCCGAAGATGACCACTCTTCGGGTGCTGCTGCACGTTGCCGCTCAGCGTGACTACGAGCTTCACTCTCTTGACTTTAGCACAGCCTTCTTACAGGGTAGCCTGCACGAGGAGATTTGGCTGCGCCGCCCTCCTGGCTTCACTGGGTCGTTCCCTCCTGGTACCCAGTGGAGCCTCCGGCGGCCGGTCTACGGTCTCCGCCAGGCGCCACGTGAGTGGCACGACACACTGAGGACGACACTTGCGGCTCTTGGGTTTGCTCCGTCGACTGCTGACCCGTCGCTGTTTTTGCGCACCGACACTTCTCTGCCGCCGTTCTACGTTCTCGTGTACGTCGACGACTTGGTCTTTGCCACTGCTGACACTGAGGCTCTCGCCCTGGTGAAGTCGGAGCTGCAGAAGAGACACACGTGCACAGACCTGGATGAACTGCGCAGCTACCTTGGCTTGCAGATCACCCGGGACAGAGCACGCCGCACCATCACACTGACTCAGTCACACATGGTGCAGCAGGTCCTTTAGCGCTTCGGTTTCACCTGGTCCTCAGCACAGGCCACTTCTCTGGCTACAGGTCACTCGCTCTCAGCTCCACCTTCGGACGAGTCCGTAGAGCCGAGTGGTCCTTACCCAGAGTTAGTGGGCTGCCTCATGTACCTGATGACTTGCACTCGTCCTGACCTTGCGTACCCTCTTGGCCTTCTGGCTCGCTACGTGGCTCCTGGTCGGCACCGAAAGGTGCACATGGATGCTGCCAAGAGGGTACTACGCTACTTGTGCAGTACATCGGGCATGGGGCTCGTGCTTGGAGGACGGGGTGACGTTGTCCTCACAGGTCACTCGGACGCCTCTTGGGTTGACGACCAGGCTACGCAGCGGTCGTCACAGGGTTACACCTTCAGCCTTGGTTCTGGTTCAGTTTCCTGGCGTTCTACACGTTCGTCTTCAGTTCTCGGCTCCAGCTGTGAGGCAGAGATCTACGCCACAGCCATGGCTGCACAGGAGCTGCGCTGGCTCACCTACCTGCTGACCGACTTGGGAGAGAGGCCTCGTTCTCCTCCAGTTCTGTACGTCGACAACAAGGCCATGTTGGCCTTGTGTCAGGAGCACAGACTGGAGCACAGAACAAAGCACATCGCTCTCCGTTACTTTCTTGCTCGAGAGCTGCAGCAGCGTGGCCAGCTTCGTCTTACCTACGTGGCCACTGGGGCCAACACTGCTGATATATTCACCAAGGCGCTTCCGCCTGGTGATCATCAGCGTTTCTGCACTTTGTTAGGCCTTGTGCCCACTCTTCCTCACTTGCTGTAGGCCTTGTTTGTACCATGATTTATATGTATTCCTGCATGCTTGTTCTTGTAGGTAGATATCACTGTACTGTTGTTGTTACATATATATTTCTGCATGTGAACTGGCCTTGTGGCCTTCTTGCTTGTGCTCAGACTGCGTGGTGACGTTGTGATCCACCCTGAGCTTGCTTTGCACTTCTTGACTGGTCTTGTGACCCTCTGTTCTCCCCCACTTTGCCTATGGGGGTGTGTCAAACATATGTGTATATTTGTTATAGTTTGGTTAGGCTTAGTGGGGTACTCACTGTGGGGTACAACCCCTTAGGTTTCTCCTTTGTATCTTTCCCTTTCGATAGTCAACACACCACTTTCCCGTAAGATTCAAACAGACCGCACATCCTACATCCAAGAATGCCTCAACCACCTCCTTGACAAGAGCACTTACACTGAAATATTCACGACTACAGCAGATTTTGAAGATCCCCGGTCTTCGGTTTTTGCCAAGTTAATTGACATTCGTGCTAACTTTGGACCTTTACTCCCTAGATATCTGTGGAATTACTTTACTCGCCCTCCGACAAGTGGCTGGAAGCCGGCCATTTTTTATGTCATTATGAAGGTGCACAAGAAAGTCCCAGTTGGACGACCTATAGCAGCTTCCCACTCCTGGGTTACCGCCAATGCCAGCCGCTGGTTAGACGCTGCTCTTCGACCGCTGGTTCTCCAGCAGCCTACGTACCTGAGAGACTCATTGTCACTTCTCCTTCACCTGGAGAAAACTCCCATGCCGAAGAAGTTACTACTTGCCACCTACGACGTCCAAGCTCTTTACCCTTCAATCCCGCTACGAGAAGGTGTCGATGTTGTCCGCTCCTTTCTGGAACGAGACCCACTACGTTTTCCCAACGCACCTGTCATTGTAGCTTTATTGGAGTGGGTAATGTTTAACTCTTACGTGGATTTCGATGGAAGGATATTTCGGCAGATTCAAGGGACGGCGATGGGTATCTCAGTTGCAGTTTGCTTCGCCATCCTATACATGAGCCGGCTGGATGAGATTCTTCGAGCTCGTATGAGTCCCAGTATCCCGCTTCTCCATCTCCGCTACATAGACGACGGTTTCATCTGCTGGAAGGGGAGTTAGGAGGGATTGGAGGATTACTTAGCAGCTTTCAATACTCTTCGGCCTACAATCAAGCTTACATGGACGATTTCTGAGACTTCCGTCGATTTCTTAGACCTAGTCATCCATAAAGGACAGCGATTCAACTGCTCTGCTGGACATTTCCACTTTTCAGAAGCCTAACAACACCTACCTTTATCTCCCATTTTCATCTTTTCATCCACAACACTGTAAGGAGGGGTTTATCCGCTCCGAGCTCAAACGCTACTTGCTCAGAAGCTCCAGTTTTGACGATTTCTGCAGCATGAAGCAGACTTTTTTCAAAAGGCTACGCTCCAGAGGATATTCACATCATTTCCTGCTACCTCTCTTTACGACCATTACCTTCAGTCTACACGATGAGCTCTTACTACAAGCTCTTCAACATATCATGACAAGAACACCAGTCGTTATGATATTATAAAACGCGCTGCGTCTTTTATTTTCTTGATTAATAACTTCTTTCCTCAGGCGAAAGGGCCACTAGACTGAAGGCGCCATGGCGGAGGAAGTTATTCTTACAGCGAACGACCTAATGACGGGGCCACCATCGCCGGTGATTCCGCGAGACCTCGCGCCGCGAGCGCTGGAGGGCGTCGATACGTGCAGCGACCGATTGAGAGCTCTCTTTGAATGTGAGCCGTTGGATGAGAGCTGATGGCAGAGAGCGTAGGCGCGTGGATGCGCGAGGGTGGCCCCGATGCGCGTGGATTGCAGTGACCGAGTACCAGAACGCTCTTTGAATGTGAGCCGTTCAATTCAATCGGTGGTTGCGCGTGCTGCATGTGTGTGCGGATCGGATTAGTGCAAACGATGACGAGGCCGCGAGTGAGTGCGTGAGACGGTTTGAATGTCGGGGCAGGGAACGAGGCAAATCAGACGATCGGCCTTTTAAGTGAGAGCCTTCCATTCCCGCGCGCGCACACGGGACGAATCAAAAGTTCCCTGCTCGGACATTCGGCCCGTCTCACCTTGCAGCTGCCAGCGCTACGTTTTCTCGCCCACTTCGCACGCGTTGCACTTCCCGCAGCCTCCCTCCCCCCTCACCGGTCCCACACTTTCTCTCCCTTTCAAACCCCTCCCCGACACCCTCCCCTCCACCCTCCCCGCCACTCTCCCCGCCAACCTCTCCCCCATCTTCTCCCCCGTCCGCGGCCCACAAGCTTGCTCGCGAACGAGGCGGAACTCTTAGGATCATCTTTGAGTCGCCTCGAAGGTCTCCCCCGTCCGCATTCCCCCGTGTCCGCACTCCCTGCTGTCCACACTCCCCCCTGTCCACACTTCCCCCCTGTCCACACTCCCCTCTGTCCGCCCTCTCCCACGTCCCCTCTCCCTCTCCCACTCCCCGCCCCTCCGCGCACCACAGGCTTGCACGCGAACGAGGTGGAGCCGTTCTGCCAGGATGACTGTTGAATCGCCTCAGAAGTCTCCCTCATCCGCCCTCCCCCGCGTCCGCCCGCCGTCCGCCCTGCCTCCGTCCGCACTCTCCCCTATCCGCGCACCACAGGCTTGCATGCGAACGAGGTGGAGCCGTTCTGCCAGGATGCCATCCTCACACTGCGGCGCTGCACGGCGCACAGGGTATGTGGAGCTGTGCAGAGGGGCACAGTGCGGTGAAGAGGCTCACAGTGCGGTGGAAAGGTATGGGTGAGAGAGGAAAGGAGGGAAGGTGGAGCCGTTCTGCCAGGATGCCATCCTCACACTGCGACGATGCATGGCGCACAGGGTAGGTGGGGCGGTGGAGAGGCGCACAGTGCGGTGCAAAGGGGCACAATGCGGTGGAGAGGTGCACAGAGCGTTGGAGAGGTATGAGTGAGAGTCTAGAGAAGGGAGGGAAGGTGGAGCTGTTCTGCCAGGATGCCATCCTCACACTGCAACGATGCACGGCGCACAGGGTAGGCACGGGGGGGGGGGCTAGCAGCGCACAGGGTAGGCACGGGGGGGGGGAGGCTCGCAGGGTGGTGGAGAGGCGGCGGTAAGGGTGAGGGAAAGGGACGGAAGGTGCAGCCGTTGTGCCAGGAGGCCATTCTTGGGGCCCCTTCCTTCCTTGCTGCTGCCCTGCGGCCCTCTTGCCCCTCGTCTTTCATCCGCCCGTCCTTCCATTCCACCCCGCCTTGTCAATGGCCTTCTTTTTTACTACTTCTCGCCTCTCGCCCTTCGAAGCTCACCTCTCGCCCTTCGTCTCTCGCCGCTCGCCCCTCGCATCAGCTCGAGGTCCCTCTGGCCGCCTGCTGCTGCGCACACAAGGGGAGGATGCGTGCTCTCGGTGTATGCCCTTCCAGATTTCCAGCTTTCTCGCCCCTCCCCACCCATCCTCGGCCCTCGCCGCCTCTCCCTTTCAGGATGAGGTCCTTTTAGCGTGCCTGGTGCACGCATAGCACGAGACTGCCAACCAACTGTTACTGCATGGGCGCTCAACCTCCCCACTGCACCCTCCCAGCCCTCACCTCATCTCCCTTTGTCAACCTGCCTCCCTTCCTCTCCCCCCTCCTCTCTCTTGCAGTATGAGGTACTTAGAGCTCGTCCACATGCAGAGAGGGAGGCAGCCAGCTATTGCTGCATGCGCTTCCCACACTCCCCACTCCACCCTCCCCACGCTCCCCACTCCACCCTCCCCACGCTCCCCACTCCACCCTCCCCACGCTCCCCACTCCACCCTCCCGACGCTCCCCACTCCACCCTCCCGACGCTCCCCACTCCACCCTCCCCACGCTCCCCACTCCACCCTCCCGACGCTCCCCACTCCACCCTCCCCATGCCGAGGGGGAGGCAGCCACCTATCGGTGCAGGATGAGGTGCTTCGAGCGTGCCTGCTGCAGGCAGAGGGGGCGGGTACCAACGATTGCTGGTTGTGCTTCCATGCTCCCCAGTCCACCCTTTCCGTTTACTCTCCCAACGCTCCTCTCTCCTCCTCGCCCTTCCTCTCTCTCGCAGGATGAGGTGCTGCGAGCGCGGCTGCTGCAGATAGAGGGGGAGGCAGCGGGCTGTCGATCGGCAGAGGGGAATGAGGAGCGAGTGGGGCAGATGAGAGGGCAGGCGGAGCAACTGGAGAGGTAGGGAGGGCGTCTGTGCTGTGTGCAATTCAGACGAACGGGACTTGTGAGTAGAGTCAGGAGTCAGCTGGAGAGGTAGGGAGGGAGTGCGGTGTTGTGTTGTGTGTGTGAGGCACGTGGTCGCTGTCCGTTTCGTCAGGTGAAGAAAGAAGGAATATCTGGGCAGAGGGGGGAAGGGGGAAGGGAAAGGGCAATAAAAGAAGGGATCTAATAGACGGGATGAAGGAGCGTTTTGTGATCTGGGTTGCAATGCTCCCACTGTCTTTCTCCCCTCTTTCTCCTCTCTTTCTCCAATCCTCCCCCCCCTCCCCCCGTTTTTTCCTCTTTCTTCCCTCTTTCTCCCCGTTTCCGCCCTTTCCTCCCCCATTCTCCCCCTTTTGTCCCCCGTCTCCCCCGTTCATTCCCCGTCCTCCCCCTTTTCTTCCCCGTTCTCCCCCCTTACTCCCGCTTCTATCCCCCATTCTCCCCACTACCTCCCTGTTCTCCCTCCTTTTCTCCCCCGTTCTCCCCCTTTTCTCCCCTGTTCTCCCCCTTTTTCTCCCCCGTTCTCCCCCTTTTCTCCCCCGTTCTCCCCCTTTTCTTCCCCGTTCTCCCTCCTTTTTCCCCCCGTCCTCCCCCCTCTCCTCCCCCGTTCTCCCCCTTTTTCTCTCCCGTTCTCCCCATTTTTCTTCCCCGTTCTCCCAATTTTCTCCCCTCCAGTGGCACGCCGAACGGTGTATTTACATGCTTTATTCACTTGCACGCACCCCCTGCATTCCCCGCTTGCCACACTCACAGGCGCCTCATCCTGGCCAATGCCACGCCCGGCCCTGAGGGCTTCCACATGTGCTGGAGGCTGCATGTCATCAAGTGCTTCCCTTACTCTCACTACTTATTCCCAGCTCACACTTCCTTGATTCCAAACCCACACTTACATCCCCCACTCACACGTGCAGACGCCTCATCCTGGCCAGTGCCACGCCCGGCCCTGAGGGCTTCCAGACGCGCTGGAGGCTGCACGGCGAGCTGCAAGACACCAGGTGAGGTGCCTCTGGCCCCACCTTCCGTGCTGGAGGGTGCATGGCCAGCGCCTTCCCCACCTTCTCACCCACCCCCTCTCTGCCTCGCTCCCTGCCTCGCTCCCTGCCTCGCTCCCTGCTTCGCTCCCTGCCTCGCTCCCTGCCTCGCTCCCTGCCTCGCTCCCTGCCTCCCTCCCTCCCTCCTCCCTCCCGCCCTCCCTCCTTCCCTCCTCCCTCCCTCCCTCCCTCCCTCCTCCCTCCGTCCCTCCCTCCCGCCCTCCCTCCCTACACTGCCCACAGTTGCTGTCTGGTTATCCCTGCCCACCCATTCTGCCATTGTCCCATACCATTTCTTCTCACCACTGTCATCCCTCCACCATCATCCCTCCACCATCGTCCCACCACCATCATCCCTCCACCATCATCCCTCCACCATCACCCCTCCGCCATCATCCCTCCACCATCATCCCTCCACCATCATCCCTCCACCATCGTCCCTCCACCATCGCCCCACCACCATCATCCCTCCACCATCATCCCTCCACCATTATCCCTCCACCATCACCCCACCACCATCACCCCACCACCATCACCCCACCACCATCACCCCTCCACCATCACCCCTCCACCATCACCCCTCCACCATCACCCCTCCACCATCACCCCTCCACCATCACCCCTCCACCATCACCCCTCCACCATCACCCCTCCACCATCACCCCACCACCATCACCCCTCCACCATCACCCCTCCACCATCACCCCTCCACCATCACCCCTCCACCATCACCCCTCCACCATCACCCCTCCACCATCACCCCTCCACCATCACCCCTCCACCATCACCCCTCCACCATCACCCCTCCACCATCACCCCTCCACCATCACCCCACCACCATCACCCCTCCACCATCACCCCTCCACCATCACCCCTCCACCATCACCCCTCCACCATCACCCCTCCACCATCACCCCTCCACCATCACCCCTCCACCATCACCCCTCCACCATCACCCCTCCACCATCACCCCTCCACCATCACCCCTCCACCATCACCCCTCCACCATCACCCCTCCACCATCACCCCTCCACCATCATCGTCACCATCATCTCTTCACGTCCCTTCACCATCTTTCCTCCACCATCATCCCTCCCCCATCATCACCATCATCCGCATCGCACAGGGCAAGGATGAAGGTGCTTGAAGCCAAGATGCACGAGCAGGTGCAGGCGTCCAGAGACAAAGAAAGGGCCAGCAAGCCGTGGTGGCGAATAATATAGTTACTGGTTTCAACCACGTTGTTACACTTGATAGATACACGCCCGCTGGGGCCCCGCGCTACGTTTGGGGGGGTTCGACAACAGGGCAATGAAATAGTAGTCTCCAAGGCATAATTCAGCATCAGCTGTAAAACTCTCAGAGGCAACGCAGCACACTCACTGGGCCCTCGGCTGCGCCGGATTCTAAGCGCTCATATTTGCTCGTTGCTCATTCCTACCCGTCACACGCTACAGCGTCGCTCGTGCAGCCGGCACACTCTCACACGTCACTCACACGATGCCTTCATGTAACCCTCCCCATCCCGCTCGCACCCCCTCCTCCTTGCCCACGTTTTTCCCCATCGCCCTCACTGCCCAACATCGCCCTCACTGCCCAACATCGCCCTCACTGCCCAACATCGCCCTCACTGCCCAACATCGCCCTCACTTCCCAACATCGCCCTCACTTCCCAACATCGCCCTCACTTCCCAACATCGCCCTCACTTCCCAACATCGCCCTCACTTCCCCCTTTCCACCACCCATCTCCCCACAAATACCACAGACCTTCCCCCCTGCAATCCGTCATCCTTTCCCACGCATACTACCTGCCTTCCGCCCACCAATCATCCGTCTTCCCCCAAGTATCACCTGCCTACACCCCTACATACCACACGCATTTCCATCCACATACCACCCTGCTTGCGCCCCCGACACCGCTAAAATTCCCCCAACACCCCCAGGTTCCACCCACCATTTCCCCCACATACCACCTGCCTTCCCCGCCACATACACCCCTCCTTCCCCTCCACCTTCCTCCTTCCTTCCACCCAACATACTACCAACCCCCATACCCCCCACGTACAATCCATCGTTCCCACCATATCCCACCCTCCTACGAACCCCCTACTTTCCACCACTCTGCCCTCCACATACCACCAGCATCACCCCCCATATACCCCCAGACATTCCTCCCTCCCTCCCACCACGCACCACCCACCTTACCTTCCACATACCGTACCACCCTCCTCCCCCCCCACATTATTCCCTTCTCCACCCCACATACCATCCACCTGCCACACCACATACCATGATACCACCTGTACACCCCCCCATATTCCACCCCCCCATATTCCACCCCCCCATATTCCACCCCCCCATATTCCACCCCCCCATATTCCACCCCCCCATATTCCACCCCCCCATATTCCACCCCCCCATATTCCACCCCCCCATATTCCACCCACCATCACCCCAAATACCACTCGTCTCCTCCCCCACATACCACCTGCCTTCGCAACCACATTTCCTCCAACCTCCCCCCCCCCCCCCCCCATTCCACCCGCCTGCCCACACATTCCTCTTTGCTCCCCCTCGCATACCCCTTAGCTTCTGCCCACATGCCAACCACCTTCTCAACATACAACATGCCTTCCCAACCGCATTCCACCCACTTTCCCCCATGCATTCCTCCTAGGCTATAGCGCGCATCTGGCAAATTGACCCAAAACACATCAAGGGCCTCACTTAACCATTCGCACAACAATACCGTATCACCCCGGATGTGAGCGCAGGTGCGCTTATAATAAAACATTGTTTTTTAGGGGGGAGTCACAGGCATAAGCGCATGCGGTTGCACCGGTGTTAGGTGACAAATGAAGTAAGCTTTAAACTATACCTAATTGAAGCCCACTGTAAGGCGAATGCAGCCGACCATGCATCACGTGGGGTCGTGCATGAATTCCAGGCGAAAACAGCAACACGCCTCGGATTCCCACCCCACACTTTCGTCTAGAAGCATCGCACCTGCCAGCGATGACGCGAATCTTGCCGTGCGGCCCAATCACATCGCAATGCGCTGCGTGGCATGTGAATTCCATCCAAACCCTCTCGAAGGGTGCAGAAGATTCCCTGCCAGCGCACCGACTAGGCCGCCACGCAGGGTCCTCTGCGGGTTCAGGCGGGGGTTTCTTGCATGCACCTGACAAGGACCCCGAGCCGCAAACCTAGCAGGGGTCCCCTCCGTTTCCCATTTCTGCAACCCCACTTTCTGTTTTTCATTCAGATTCTTGCTCTAGCCCGCCTGGCTGGCGAAGCCATGGCGGAATTCACCGGGACCCACTTCCTTTTTAAGAAGAAATCGATATGCGCGTGGCGATTAACTGACGACGGGTGGTATACCCGTGAGCCTCCTGGGCCTCCTTACCTACCTGTGCCTCCAGCGCCGCCTGAACCCCCTGCTCCTCCTGCACCCCCTGCTCCTCCTGCTCCACCTGCTCCTCCTGCTCATCCCGCCCCTCCTGCTCCTCCGAATCCGCCTGCTCCTGTTACATTACCGGTACTCCTTAGACGGGCAAACGACCTGTGCTCCAACTCTTGCTGCCAGCGACGTTCGACGAGTGGCTGTCTGAACCGGAGTCCGACAAGCAGGGCCTATGATTCACTTTTAGGGACCCTGAGCCCTCAGGGCATGGCTAAAAAAAGGATGTCGTCCTCAGGGCAGAGCCCTCTCGGTGACCCTAATTTTGCAAGGCATCACAGAACTCAACCCTGAAGCATCAGGGCTTTTTTTCTTGTCACCCTGAATTGGTTTTGTAGTTCTAGCAGTGCATTTTATTCACATTATTAGATCGGGTTAGGAGCAAGTCCTACCTAGTTGGCATGTACCAGCAGACGCCTGGCTTCGTGAAAACGGTTACGTATGTGTGGTGGGTGTTAGAGGGGTACCGTGCAGCCACGCCTACTGCACTGCTGTAAGTTTCTCCGTGTGGGCAGATTTTCCGTCAATGTGAGTGGTGGGGGGGGTTGACACGTGTGTTATCGGCGCGAAATTACGGAAATCACGGAATGCGCACATGGGCCCCCCTTGGCGCACACTATAACTGTGTCAGGGTACGCGATAAAAACACCTTGAGGCCTCAGGGCAGGCGGGTATAGAACACTCTGAATTCTCATGGTGCTCTAAAACAAGCATCCTGAAATCTCAGGGCTTTAACTACATACATCCTGAAACTTCAGGGCAGGGGTGCTAACTGAACCCTGAAATCAGGGTAATCAGGGTATTTTACCCTGATATCATAGGGCATGCCGACAAGCCCGCCGATGTCTATGTCGAAGCTTCGCCGCCGGCACCATGTTGGGGATAGCCCGAAGACTGCGCGTGGGACGAGTCGACTGTGGGCGCCGACGACGATGTACCCGCCGACGAGCAGCGACGCGGCGACGACGAACCAGGTGGCGACGGTGAAACGGGCGGCGAGGCTGGCACAGAGGCGGACGTGTTCCCAGAGGGCGGTGCCAGCGCTGCGGACGACGACGGCGTTGAGACTTGGTGGCGCGATGCCCCGCGCGAGAAGATGCCGATTCCTACATATCCTCTGATTAACATAAAACGTCTCCACCCCTCAATTGAGAACCGAGATGCCCACCCCCCCTCCCTCTCCCCCAGGCATAAACCGAAACAACATAAGCGGCACTCGTACACCGCCCAGGAAAAACTACAGTGGCTCGTGCGCTTGGAGGTTGCAGCATCAATTCGCGAGGTGGCGCGGGAGTCCGGCATCCACCGCAAGTGCCTGACCGAGTAGAAGCAGCAGGCGGACCAGCTGAAGGACACCCACAGCGCACGGAAGCCACTGCATGGACATGGGCGAGCTTCCTGGTACCGTCTGATGGAGATTAAGGTCTACGCGCAGCTCCTCGACTGGCGGCGCCGTGATGTTGCTGTTTCGGTGGGCCGTCTCCAAGAGTGGTCGGGCGAGGTGATGAAAGTCCTCTTCCCGGAAGTAAAGTGGAAAGGGAGTCAGCGATGGTCAGAGCGCTTCCGCAAGTGCTGGAATCTCAGCATGCGCATGAAAACCAAGGTGGTGCTGAAAACACAGCAACGTAAGTGCCATGTTCTCTTTGAGTTTCATGGAATTCGTTTGGTGTTCTCACTGCGTCACCTCCAAAACGTAACTCGTTTCATGCGAAGTGCTGCATAGACGAGAGCGTTGTGGGTCCTAACCGCATCACCCCTATCCTGGCACCGTAGCAGATGATTCGGTAAGCTTTTGTCCAGGATTGCCGAGTTGTCTCGCTTGCACGGGCATACCTCGGAAACTGGGAGCTCCATGCCTAGGCGGAGGCCTAGAACTAAGGAGAACTGACCGGGGGACATGGTAAGGTCAGCCCTCGTTGGAACTACATGGAGCTAGTCACCTGCTCCATCCTCTCTCTCTCTCTCTCTCTCTCTCTCTCTCTCTCTCTCTCTCTCTCTCTCTCTCCCTTTCTATCTCTCTCTCTCTCTCTCTCTCTCTCTCTCTCTCTCTCTCTCTCTCTCTCTCTCTAATGGTCCGTGTATTGATAAACCAGGAGGGTTCAAAACATGCAAGGTAGGGCAAGCAAGTACTAACAATGCAAACATCTAGTCTAGCACACCTGAGTCGGCGTTGAAGTATCACCTAGCCGCCATATCCGCCAGTAGCTTGAGGAAAACCGGGACTTCAGCACATGGGCAGCCGTAGGTTTCTACGGCCAAGGGGAAGAACCCCACTGTCTCTGGTCGATTAGCTTAGTGCTTGATCTTTTTGTCGGCCTGCTCCCGGGCCGCCCATCCCCTGCCTTTCGTCGCCTCGGGATCCCTTGTGCTGATGGGGTCTGTGATTGTGACATCACACACCCAAATCGCCCCGCTGCTTCGGTCACTCATTGTGAAGTCGGCCGTTTGTTCCTCGATCGGACAGAAGGTTGCTGACTCACTGTGGACAATGAACCCCGCGTCTTGGGCCATGCTGATGCATGCGTCCCGAAGCTCGTTGTGGGTGTTAATGTGGTGCTTGCCCGTGCCGCAGCGGAAGAGATGGTTTGGTAGACGTGGGTCGAGGATGGCTGTTAGGTCCGCGCAGTCGCAGTTCGCCGACCGAGCCAGAAGCGAACAGCATTAGCGAAGTGCACGGGTCCAATGCACCGATTTGCCACGATGGGGATTGCGGTCAGCCAATCTCCTATGCCGTACCCGGTCAGCGAGAACATCCGTTGGGTGTGGCCTGATAGCGGATTCAGCTTCATGCGCCTACTCTCCCTGACTTGAACGGCGTATCTGCTCCCCTGGACTTTTAGAGCAAGCGCGTGCTGGAGCTTCAGATCCGATCGCTCCAGTCTCTCCTTTTCCAGCAGTTCACGTGCGTGACGTAGGCAGAGCCAATTCGCACTCGGTGAGCAAGGTGTGAAGTGGCGTGTTGACGTCTCGGGGCAGTAGCATGTGGTTCCGAACTTGTGCCAGGGCACTATCTGGCGCTAGTGTGAGGGATGTGAGGAAAAGCGCCGCCTGGGTGAAACTCGCTACGAAGCCGTGCACTCCCTCTACTAAGGGATCCGTAATACCAATCCCGCCTAGCGATGAAGGGAGCGACGCCTGCGCCCAAACTCTTGAGTGCTCAGTGCTACACGAGGGGACCCGGATTCCACACGATGTGAGAAGTGTGGCTAGCAGGTCTCTGCCCCATTGGGACCACGTATTGCGGGAGAGGAGGTTGAGTGGGGTCATTCTAGTGAGGTAAGCGTGAGGTAAGCTACGCGCCTGGAGATGCAGCGAGTTAGCAGCAGTGAGGCAACTTGGGGGTCGGCTCGCTCGAGGAGTGGTAACGGCTTCGCCATCTCTCTCTCTCTCTCTCTCTCTCTCTCTCTCTCTCTCTCTCTCTCTCTCTCTCTCTCTCTCTCTCTCTCTCTCTCTCTCTCTCTCT